TTCTCAGCTGGAGGCCAGGCTTTCCAAGAAGTGCCTCCCAAGCCAACAGCAAATGTGTCAGGTGGCAGCTTGCAAAGGGGTGAGAGGAAGCTCAGTGCCCAGCTCTCCATTTCCCGTTTCCTCTCCTCCACCGTTACATTTGCAGGGGCCATTTTTACTGCTAAAGTGGGTGCCAATCAGGGAAGAATAGAGGTCCTGGGGTCACGCTGGCCTGGGGACCTGCAGGAGGTCATGGGGTCACGCTGGCCTGAGGACCTGCAGGAGGTCATGGGGTCACGCCGGCCTGGTGACCTCTGCAGGAGGTCATGGGGTCACGCTGGCCTGGGGACCTCTGCAGGAGGTCATGGGGTCACGCTGGCCTGGGGACCTCTGCAGGAGGCTGCATGGCTGTTTTCCATTCTCCTGGGGGAAGAAAAAAGAGAACCAGGTCATTGTATCACTAGTTGAGTGAACATTTGCGAGACCATGTCCATCCAGAGGAAAGATGCCATCTGTGCCTTGAAGGCGCCTGCCTTCCAGCGAGCAAATATCACAAATGGTTAAGGCTCATGGTCTTGCCGCAGTCTCAGCAGGAGGCGGCTGTGCCTGGCCCGTCCTTGGAAGGGGTGTGGCCAGAGGGGCTTCTAGAAGTGGGATCTGCACAGCCAACTACTTTGCCGTTTGTTTCTACCTGTTCTCACACAGCCATCCAGAGACCCAGGAAAGCTACGTGAAATCAGAGGCCGCTGTGCACTCAGCTTTCCCTCCTGGCCACTGCTGGGAAAGGCTGGAGACTGAGAAGTGAACTTTTAGCCCAGTCTTTCCTCAGGTGTGCATGCGCCCCCCTATGTGTGTGCACACAAGCACATGCATATGCACCCATGCATATGCACACAGGGACATGCCCACACGTGTGTGCATACACACATGTATGCATGCATATACAAGCACATGTGTGTACACACATGCACATGCCCACACATTCATGCACACAGGCACACACACACACACACACATACACACCTCAAGTGAAGGATTGCAGACTTTGTTTTTTCCCTTTAATGAATAGAAGGAATTTTCCTGTGAAATGTGAAATTGACAAATAGAGGACAGTCACGGAGTTGGAGAGGGGAACTGATGCCGGAGTTGGGTTGCTGCTGATGGCTCCAACTCAGAGGACAGGCGGCCCTGGCTGGGTGCTCACTATCCTCAGGTCCCTGGAGGAATGGGCTGGGAGCGAGCTCAGTGGGGAAGCAGAGTGGGTGTGGTGGGCCCTAGAGACTGCCGAGAGGAAGTGGACAAATAGGAGACTTGCTGCAGAGGCTCCCTTTGCAGACACTCACTGGCCCCACCCTGATTTCCCATCTCTGTTTGGTGCCAACAGCATTTGGCATTAAATGATATTTCTAGAAAATGCCCCTCAAAGATAGATTCCCCCGGCTCTGAGGTGTTCCCGAACATTGTGGATGCGTGGCCTTGTGCGGTCATTCAAGGGCAGGGAACAGCGCCCACTGGTTCAGAGTATTCGCAGGGTCAGTCCCTGCTGCTCGTCCCCTTTCCCGCGTGACCAGTCCTGTGGCTTCCCTCTGGATGCCAGTGTCCACACTGTCTTGTCCACTCTCTCACTCTCCCCGTGTGGATTCCTCCCAGAGGGAGCCTGTGTTCCGTTGCTTTTCTGTTTCTTTGTCCCATTCCTTGGACATTTGCAGCCAGATGATGTTTCCTCCAGTTGCCGATTGCTGTCAGGGTACCCCCCCCACTGAGGATGGCAGGCCCTCCCTCCCTGCAGCTGCTGCCAACCCTCCCCTTCACGCCGTGTCAGTCCCTCCTCCCCTCTGCCCTCCAGGCAGGCTCAGCCTCTGCACCTGGTCCTCTGCTTGGCATTAACTCTAACCCCAAACTCTTCCCTGCCCTTCGCATCCCAGCTCACCGAGCGATGCGTCCCCAAACCAGCCTGCCCTCCAGCAGGCTGTACCTGTGCCTCCCTCCAGCGCGCCTGCTAACCGCTCACCCCCACCCCTCCCCTGGGTCAGCTGCACCTGTGCTGCAGAGAGAGCATCTGGGCAGCAGCGTAGGTAAATGCCTGGTTCTGCAGGAGGGGGCGTGGTGCAGGTGGGAGGAAGGAGCAGGGGAGCTCCCTGGTCCCCAGATTCTTGTCCATCTAGAGGGGAAAGAAGAGCCTGTTACCTGGCAAGAAGCAGTTATTTTGTTCACTTGTTGGGTGTTTTGTTTATTGTTTTACTTTACCTTCCTCTTGATGGAGGCAGAGATGGGCGGAATGGTGGAGAGATCATTGGCATTAAGGTGATCATTGCCTGGTCACCTCAGGCCTGAAGAATAAAGAATGAGGTGAGCCTGGCTGGCGTGGCTCAGTGGCTGGCATCAACCTATGAACCAGGAGGTCAGGGTTCTATTCTTGGTCAGGGCACATGCCTGGGTTTTGGGCTTGATCCACAGTGTGGGGTGTGCAGGAGGCAGCTGATCAATCACTGTCTCTCATCACTAATGTTTCTATCTCTCCATCTCCCTTTCTCTCTGAAATCAATAAAAAATATATATTTTTTAAATTTTTAAAAAAAGAGTAAGTTGAGGGTTTCAGGTTGTGACTGCTGCTATTGTTCATCCACAGAATAGAGAAAGGAGCTAGTGCCGTCTGGCCCTCTGGTGAGACGGTCTTCCCCTTGCAGATCACTGTAAATATTTCTCTCTTTTCTGCATCCAGCGCAGCTAGAGAGCAGTTCAGTTCCTGAATAGGGGCTGCTGGGAATTGAGAAAATGAAAGGAAGACAGACACAGAGATGGAAGGAAAAAGCTGGGGCTGGGTGGGACCACTGTCCTCTGATGGAGAGACAGGGACTCAACCAATACAGTGCATTCATTTTATACAGCAAAAACCAGGGAGTTTTACTACAGGTCAAGACAAAGGAGATTATGTGCACTCTTGGGTGGCCCGAGTCATATCATTCCTGGTGCTTGGCTGGGTTTAGATAACGAAACCCACCCCCTGGTGCCCAGGCTGAAGGTCAAGCTGACAACACTCCTGTCTCTGGCAAGGCGTGTTTCCAGGACGTGGCTCTGCCAACGCCACTGGATTCAGCTGACAATAATTAAAGAAATGCCCATGTGCCTTCCCAGGTGCTCTCTACAGACCACCAGCTGTGGGGTGACACTCATCCTTAACAGGGGCCACCTACTACTGCCGGTGGCCTTCCCTTCGCCCCCCCCCACCCTCACTCCCGTGGGGAAGACCTGCTCCAGCCCAGGGCCCTCGCAGTCTTTTCCCCAAACCCGGTGGGATGAGCTGTAGATTCCTGCCTTTGTCACTTAGAGTTTCTAACAGATTTAGGGAGAAATGGCTGCCGCTGCTTGTGGGGAAGAAATAACTGTTGTGCGGGATTTAGGTTTCCACACTTCCCGTGTCCTGTGTGGGGGCATCAGAGTCCAGGTGGGTTCTCACTAGGATGAAGTTAGCTCCCAACTCCAGGTCACCTCCTGGTTCTCCAGGGGCTGCCTGCAGCATTCCGTTGAAACACGTGAGAACCCTGGCCTGTTTGGTTCAGGGGGTAGAGCATCGGCCCTAGGACTGAAGGGTCCTGGGTTCAGTTCCGGTCAAGGGCATATACCTCAGTTGCAGGCTCGATCCCTGGTCAGTGCAGGTGTGGGAGGGAGGCGACCAATTGATGGCTCTCTCACATCGATGTTTCCCTCTCTCACCCTCTTTTCCACTCTCTCTAAAAATCAATGGAAAAAATATCCTTGGATGAGGATTAACAAAAAAAATAAAGAAAAAAAAAACACATGAGAATGGAGATCGATTGGTAATGTCTGCCATGGGTGGCATGTTGGGGGATGGTAGGGAGCGAGGAGTCAGGATTGATTAGCTGGCCCTGGTCTGGGGGTGGACTATGAGTAGGGTGCACTTTATCCTTAGGAGGCAGCCTGAGGAAGAGCCAGCAGTGAAGGGTGGGCCCTCTTTGGGGCCTGGAGGTTCAGGGTGTCCCTTGATCAATTGAAAGGGCTCCAGAGGCCCTTGGTGCCATCAGCCCTCCAAGCATGGGGGGCTGGGACTGAACTGCCCACATTTGGGAGCACAGCCGGCTTCTGTTCCAACCCTACCATTGCTGGGATCTCCTGAGTTTGAGGATGGGTCCCCAAAGTCCTTCCCTGCTTTGGGGCTTTATGGGGGTTCAGGGAAAGCAGCTGGAGAGTGGGGAGCCATGGCCATGTGGTCATCAGACCTCACTCGGCACACGGGCTCTGCTGTGCTGTGGATTCAGGGGACAAGAGCACCTGGGTGCCCCAGTTCCCGAATGTCCTGGTCCCAGTGTGGCTCACAGGACAGAGGGGGGTGCTCGGGGCCTGCTGCCCGTCACTCATAGTCTCTGGTGGTGAGGGAGCTGGCAGCCAGTGCCAGGCAGAGGAGAAAGTAGGGCCCAGCCATCAGAGCCCCAGGAGGGCCAGGCACCGCCAGGGTCATCTGGGAGGCTGAGGAAGGGCCTGAGAGGCCCAGAGCCGGGCAGACCGTGCTGGTGAGACAGGCACGTTCCGCATCCACAGGGCGGTGCTGAGTGGCCTCTTGTCCTGTGTGTTTGTGTTTCAGCGCTTCTAGAAGCAAGGAGCTTTCTCCGGGATCTGGGCAGAAGGGAAGTCCGGGTTCCAGCCAGGGGGCACCCTGTGCTGGGACACCAGCAGGCACCAGCCCCGGCCCGCCGCCGGCCAACCAGAGCCCCCACACTCTCCGGAAAGGTACGTCCCGCCACCTGCACCTGCACGTCGCCTGGGCAGATGGCTGCCCGCTGCCTGGAAACTCACTTCCCCACCAGCCTGGGTGCTCAGACACCCTATGGCCTAGCGAACTGGTCCCCATCTGTGCATTAGCGGTTAGAGGTCGACCAGCTCCCAGAGGGACATTTCATCACCTTCCCTCAGTTTCCTCGTTGAGCAGTGGGCTCGTCAGGCGGGTGGAGGGTCTGGCTTTCTGTACAGCAGGACCTCTGCCCGGGGTGATGCGTGCCTTCCAGGCCCTGCCAGGCCCCCGCAGCCAATTAGCATAGGTTTTGTTCCATGGAAGGGGGGTTCCCTGATGCCTCCTTGGGGCTAAAGGACAATTTCTTCTGGAATTCGTGACAACACAGGCAACCCCACTGGGCTGACAGGTTGCCCTGGATGTTCCCATTTCTCATCCTCCCGGCCATTATTCCCTCTGAAATGACCCCCAAGCTGACGACCTGCTCCTGGTGACGGTTCACCAACGGGGGCCCGGGGGGAGGGGGGGAGCGTGCCCAGCCTTTCTGTTCGCTTTCATCTATGCCGTGCTTTGCCGGCTTCACATGGTTTAAAGGAGCCTCGTGTTGGCTCAGTCTTTGTTCCGACCTCTCCAGCGCCTCGGCCGGGTTGCAGCTCCAGGGCTGGGGGCCTGGGGCTGGTCACCTTGTCATCGCACACCTTCAGGGCCGGTGGCTTTCTGCCTGCCCGGCGCCAGTCCACAGCGGCACCCAAGTCTGCCCTCAGCAGCCTTCCTTCTGTACCTTCCCATCATGCCTCATGCACTCCACAAGTAGTTGTTGGGCCCTACTGTGTGCCGAGCTCAGAGGGTATAACCGTAGTAGGCGCACAGTAGGGGTGTAACCGTAGCAGGCGCAGCTCTCAGGAAGGTGAGCGTGGAGCGGTACCGCAGGTGGCAGTGCGGGCACTGCTCACACAGGCCCTTCCACACACAGGCACTGGGCCGCAGCGGTGGGCGGGGGTTTCAGCATCCAGGGTTCCTCTGGCACCCATAGGTTTCCCTGTGGTCTAGAAACAGTTCTTTGGCAGTTGGTGTGCAAGGCCTAACCCTCCCCAGCCCTACTCTGGGGTGGTGGCTAAGCCATCACTTTTTCCACAGGAGTCAGGGTTCCTCATGCCAGTGGCAGGCTGGGCTTCCCTCCTCACAGCTACAGGGCCTCTGGGGGACGCGGCCTAGAGTGACGCAGGTCCCTTCCCAAGGGTGTTTGGTAGCTCAGTCACCACTGAAATATGCAGCTTTCTCCGCCTCCTCCACCACCGGCACACTTGGCGGTTTTAACGCCTCTGTCTTTTGGCATCACAGCCTTGTCCTGTAACTTCCTGGAGTGGCGATGTCACACAGACATCTTGGCACTGTCACTGCTCCCCTCGGCTCCTTTGGGAGAAGACAGGTTCAAGCATGGTCCCTGGTCCCCACCTGCTCCTCACCCGGGGAGCAAGTCCCACCCGGGCCGGCAGAGCTGCGGGTGGTTTATTAACCTTTTGACTGCTAAGGAGCGCTATCGCGTTCATCCTATGTTACTCCAAAAATGCGAAGAGCGCGGGAGCACTCCTGTTTTTTTTTATGCCAAGACTGCGGAGAGCGTAATAATGCTGCTCCAAAACACTAGAATTTGTGCGTCCAAATTTGCGGTGGTGCGTGGAAGGCAGCAGTAAACATGGTGGAGAAGTTAAACGTTCAAACCTAATTTGCTCTATTTGTAAAAAGGGAATTCACGCGCTTTGTATAGCAAACCACCCGTGTAAAAGATTATAAGAAATTATTTGTGTTAATTTGACTGAATTATAAGTGCTTATTACCAATTTTATTCACAAAATTAATTAAAACAAATTTATGTAAACAATTGGTATTTTTTAATTTTTGTTGTTGCAAAGCAATACAAGTGAGTTTATTGTATAAAAAGTGTTTTACATTTTTTCCCATACACGCGCAATTAGTGCCGCAGTTTTGGCATATGTCCGAAAAAATACGTCAGCAGCCAAACGGTTAAGTCGGGATTATACAGGGCTTCCTGCACACTCTCATTGCATCCCTGCCATGCTGTGGAGAGATTTACGGACGTGCCCCGGGGCACAGTGGGAAGACGGAGGCATTTGGGCCATGTTGATTGACCCTGGAGAACATTAGCTTGCCTTGTCCACGCTGCACACGGAAGGAGCCAGGGCCATGCATGAAGCGCAATTAGCATAGGTTTTGTTCCATGGAAGGGAGGGTTCCCTGACGCCTCCTTGGGGCTAAAGGACAATTTCTTTTGGAATTCGTGACAACACAGGCAACCCCACTGGGCTGACAGGTTGCCCTGGATGTTCCCACTTCTCATCCTCCCGGCCATTTCCAGTTAGAAGTGAAATGTAGTTGTCATCCTTC